CTTCATTATTTTTATGAACCAAACATTCAGTTCTCTGGGCATGGTGAGGAGTACGCTAATCAGAATAAACACTTTGAATGCTTTAACTTAGACTTCATTCTTCACACCGTTACTTACATTTCTCTTAAAACTAAAATGATTCAACTCTAAGCTCGAACAGCTTGTTTTAAGCTCGTGTGAAGTTTTTCAAATCCGTCAACAGAACTGGAGAAGGCAATGTGAAAAAAATTTTGTACCAAGAGAAGCTTTGAAAATTAAGAGGCTTGGAGGAAAAGGCGCCAAAGTGCAGTTTTTGCTATTTCGAGAAATACGTGTTTGAAATTTCAAAATTACACGGCTTCTCATGGCGGAAAGAAACTTCAAATTGACTTTTTGATGCTTAAAAATTGAGATTTGGGAGCGAATTTTCCACAGAATATGCATAAGAGCCACACTTGTTCTTCAAGCTCTTCGATTATGTTCTTGACTCAGCAGGCAACGCTGTTCAGATTTGAGAACGGAAAAAAAATAATTCGAAGAATCCGGTCGAGAAATGAATGAAAAAGCTGCTGCGCTTCAGCCGACTGAGCACTTCTCAAAAAAAGAATGTGAAACTTAGGAAAAGTGTTTACTCTGATTGTGAACTGCGGCCTACACCGCATTGAATGAGTTATAACATAAAGAGGGGAATTTTATAAAAAAAAATCAATCCCTCATTCTCTGAAGAAATAACATAGTACATTACATTTGGATTAGATTTTGCGATTAGGAACTACGAATGGACCACTGGACAAGGCACGAATTCAAGCATTCTGATACATGTTTCTTCACCAGAATTTCACGTAGAACACGATTCGCGCAACGAAAGTTACTGAAACCAACTCTTAACGAAGATATTAACCTTTTTATTTCATATTGGTTACGCGGATTTTTAACTGCCCGCTCACAAGAAACCCAAAGCTCTACGTGAGTCAAATCACGCACTACAACGGTTTCAGCAAGCCTCTCAATCGAGCAATGTTGATTTCCCACCATGTGTTGTCCAAACTACAAGCAATTTGCTATAGCTGAGCCAAGCGTCAAGATTGGGCTTGTCCGATTTTTATATCGCAGAGACTGTCATGATAAACGTTTAGCGCGCGATGTGAATCACGCAGAGCATTGAGTTTTCATGAGCGGGTGGTTTGAATTCACGCATCAAGGATCATTAAATAACTTCATAAGGGATTGATTTCGGTAATTATCGTTGTGCGTATCGTGTTCCACGTGAAATTTTGGTTAAGAAACATGTATCAGAATACTGAAATTCGTACCTTGTCTAGTAGTCCATTCTGGCTCATCCTTAACAGTGTTCCCAGGCGTGCGGATATTTCCGCGCCGCGCGGACATTCCCTATACCCGCGCGGACAGCGTACGGACAAAAACCTTATGGGAAAATTTTTCCCTATCTTATTTTGTCCGTACGCTCGCCCGGCCCTGTCCGTGCGTCTGTTTATCCGCTTTTCTTTGCAATATTTATTACTTTTGCGTAAGTTATTGATACAATGATGTTTAGTATGAAAGCCGGGTATCGTTTGGGAACAAATTACATACTTTTCGCATTAATTATATTGTATTCTTATCAAAATTCAGTCATTTCATTTATGTCCGTGCGCCCGCCCGGCCCAGTCCGTGCATCTGTTAATCCGCTTTTCTTTGCAATATTTATTACTTTTGCGTAAGTTATTGATACAATTATGTTTAGTATGAAAGCCGGGTATCGTTCGGGAACAAATTAGATACTTTTCGCATTAATTATATTGTATTCTTATCAAAATTCAGCCTTTTCATTTAAGGTCCGTCCTTGTTTTCTGTATTGTTGTGCTTTTGTGTTTGATCACTCAGACATTTTTTCTTACTTTTTTTCTCAATTTCGCCAATGTTATTGATACAAGGAAGCCACGAATAAAACCCAGGTATCATTCAGGACCTTTCTGCATTAATTTATGTCAGGGCTGCCGATTCGTGAGTAATTACTCACATCGTGAGTAATTTGAGCACCGGTGAGTAAAACGTGAGTAATGAGTAATTGGTGAGTAATCCGACGATCCGTGAGTAATCGTGAGTAATGCAAAATCCATGGGTAATTCTCAGTAATTCTCCATTTTTGGCGCAATTTGTGTGAGTAATCGGTGAGTAAAATTTAAAACGATGAGTAATCGGTGAGTGAAAACAATGTCAATGTGAGTAAAATCGGGAAATGGTGAGTAAAAAGTGAGTAGAATTGAGAACGGTGAGTAAAAGTGAGTAAAATCGCGATCAGTGAGAAGCAAGTGAGTAAATTTTAGATTGGTGAGTAGCGTGTGAGTAAAAAATTCGCGAAATGTGAGTCCGAGTATCGGCAGCCCTGATTTATGTGTTATTCAATCAGTTCAATGGGTTAGGAATTATGAATTTCATGAAAAGTCAGCTCCTTTCTTTTGAATTATTGCTTTTTGATGTAGGCACCTATAATTGTTCCGATTATTTTTTCCTGTCAATGCTTTCTAGAGGACATAGGTACTTGAATGTCACAAGAGATCAAGAGAACATCAACATCATCAACAAAACAGCCGGAGCCGGAACCGGAAACGGAAACGGAATTCACGGAACACGGACGGAGCACGGAGCGGCACGGATATACACGAGCCTCCCCGAGTTCATCCGGAGAGCGTACGGACATTTTAAGATAGGAGCACCTGGGAACACTGATCCTTAAAAACACGTAAGTGCATGGGGGAAATAATGGTACATACGTTCTTTCTAAATCGAGTTAGAAATAGTAGTCCCTAATTGCAGAATGTAGTCCATTTTCAACACACTGTCGCCGTTCATGGGTGCAAAAACGAGGTGAGAATAATTTCGTTTATTGCCAACTTTTAGGGTCAGAGAGCCTTGTAAGAACAAGAAGCAGTCAGAGATATTTTTTAAATACTTATTAGAATAACATGTGGGCAGGCTCTGCGGATCAGATTGCAAACACTAGAGCCTAAAAATGTTTATGGTTCCTAAAAGTCTTGTCGCTAACCCTCATACCAGCAAGCAAATAAACGTAGCAAAATACGGGTTTTGGTAGCATAAGGGTCGTTTTATTGGCGCTCTAATGCAAGCTCAATGATATCTTGATCAATAATTTTGCGGAATGGACTACTAGACGAGGTAAGTATGCCTGAAAGCGCTACGCATCATATTTTCTCCTCGTTTCACAAGGAAGACTAATCACATGAAGGGAAGTCTGGAACTCAACTACTAAACAAGACACACGTGATTCCGAGTTCTGAGAGAGAATCTACTTTGTATTTACTTTGCTCTGAGTAATAATTGGACCGCGTTAAGCAGAAAGGAACCAAGCCACATCAGCTACTGCCAGATTTACTGAGAATTTAATATTTTACATGAATTCAGTTGTGCGGATTTTTGTGCAAAATTCAGTGAATTGTCTGCATAGCACGAGGGTAGTTCCTCAACATTTCCAAAGGAATCCGCACAAGCGTTCTCTTGTAAAAAATTAAATTGCCCGGTTTTTGCCGATAGGCGATACGCCTTGGCTCCTTTCTGCTAAGCGCGGTTCAATTTGCAGCTTGGCACATGTATTAGGGCGTGTGTGTGCGTGTGTCCGGGACATATACACTTCGAGGGCCTCGTCAGTTAGCTGTACTGCCGTGCTAAGGAAGAACGCCGTATGAACATTCGAGACTTGCCAAATTTCCCTTGATAAAACATGTATTTTGGACGCAATTAAAACATATTTTCCCTTGAAATTTTCAGGTATTTTAGATTACTTAAATTGCGTGCAAAATTGTCTGAAAATTTTGGAAATAAACATTAACAATTTGCCCAGCAAAATTGGTTTTTATCGAAGGAAATTTCACAAATTCTGAAGGCTCATGCGAAGTTCTTCCTCAGCACGGCCGTGTAAGTGAGCATGTAAATAATTTTGGAGGGAAATTCATTCGGAGAATTCTGACGAAATTACAATAGGATATGTATACGATCTTTTGATTCTCCCTATAAATGGCACTAGGTAGCAATAAAGTACCTTCATAGAGAGAGTAGGGTCACTACGGTTGCCACCTCCAGTTGGCTCGACCGTCTTAGGCTGGATGGGGCCCAAAAATGGCGGACGCTGTGAGTAAATTTAAATGCAAAATGACTCAAAATGTTGTTTTACTTGCATATCGCGACGAGAACTTTACTCAAATGCATGATTACGACGTATTTACATAGTTTCACGGTTGATCGTGTGCTATATTTTCGAGAGAAATCATCTGAAGGTTCGTAATCTTCGTAAGGTTGACAGCAAGCACGGTTGGTGAGAACAATCAAAAGATGGCAATGACTCCCCTCCCACCCTCAAAAACTAAAAAAAGAGCCGCCATTTTTCGCGCTTAAGCCCCTCCTGGAGCTCAGTGTCCATACTCTCCCTATAAAGGTACTCTAGGAAGTAAAATTGAAAAAAATAATAAAAAAGAACCCATTCTAAAGTTACTACTAAGATAATTTCTTGCAAGTATGCGGGAAAGTTTAAGCTCCTACGGTACTTATTTCCTCCCTCAAAAACTGCATACATCAGGTCAGTCGGTGAAAGTATACTAAAACTAATAATTAAAGCATGGTTCAAAGATCAACAGCGAACTTTGTGTTTTTCCCACATGTGTGCCTTATAAGCTTCCCTCTGAATGAAAGACCTGGGGCAAAGATAACAACACATCCTATTGGTCATGTCTGAATGCATGAACCGAACGTGATATTTGAGCGCCGACTGATTAGAGTAGCTAACGCCGCAATGGGGGCAGCTCCCACACTGCGCCAAATGTGACCCTGCGTAACACAACGAGGAACGACATGCATCAGCGTACTGTCAATTACATATTATAATCATTGCTCAGACCTTGGCATCCAATTATAATACATAATTTTACTTCCATTAAAACATTTCTTTATAGACGACATTAAAACTGAGTCTCAAGTTTTTCATTTGCAGCTCCGGTGATTACGGGGAATTCTGCATGTAGGGGGTGACGAAGCCGAGGTTCTGACTTTTTTACCCGCATTGCAACTTGTGATCTCAAGAGGTATATAGAGGTAAAAAGATTTGGATAAAAAAAAAAAGCAAGGGGAGAAATTGATGAATTGAAAAATTAAAGATCTATACTGCCGTGCTAAGGAAAAACGCCGTATGAACCTTAAGGCGTTGCCAAATTTCCTCTAATTACATATAAATTCATTGAGGAGGTTGTAAATATTTTCCTTCAAAGTTTTCATGATTTTTTGTTCGCAGCTCAATACAAAATATCCGAAAATTTCAAGGAAAAATATGAATGAATTTCGTCAGAAACACATGTTTTATCCGGAGAAATTTAGCAACTCTCGTGAGTTCATACGGCGTTTATCCTTAGCACGGTAGTATAGACATTAAGCTGAAGAATAGCATATCATGGTCCATGCCACGAAAAGAGTGGTAGGTGAGAGGGCGAGTTGGGAACGGCTTGGTCTACGGTTCAGCGGTTGATAGGCTTTGACGAGTCTGGGCCGTTTAAGTGAGCCAATGCACCTGCGACTCATCCCTTAAAAGTTACTCGTTTTTTTTTTTTTTAAATTCATTAATTACACAAAGCACCCTGTTTCTGTGCAACGACGACTAACAAATGCATGAATGACTTATTTGGTTATCACAGGCGGAAAAATTGAAAGCGCTCAGCCTTAATCGATGGCTTTTCAATAGCTATGTCTAGATGCAACTATTTAGTGACAATGAAAAACTCGTGACAAACGTTTTTGCCACTTAAATCGAGAGCCTTGCCAGGGCCAGATTCGCCTATACTTGGCGCCCCCTTGTCATTTGTTTGGAAAAATTGCTTAGAACCATCAAATGGACGTGCCCNGGGGGGGGGGGGGGGGCGGCATAAGACGCGTTTACTAGTGTTGAGAACATTGTTTGTGAAAGCCCTATCAACACTTGCAAAATTTCACGGAACTTAGCGCAAGTCAAGTTCCGTAAACCTACCTCTGTGTGGACAAGGCCTTCCATTGATAAGAAATAAACGAAACAATTGTGAAAGAACAAACATAGGTGTGGTTTAATAATTTTAGCTCCCGCCGCCCCGCCCCGCCGCGCCGCGCTGACCTCACTGTGTTCGGCGCAATGCGTGAAGTATTCATGCAGTCTTGTAGGAGCTATGCGTTTCCCGCCGACCGCCGACCACACTGTGTTTGATGCAATGCGTGAAGTATCCGCGAAGTCTTGTAGGGGCTAATATGCGTTTCATGCCGACCGCCGCGCCTACGGCTTCTATTCATCTCAAGTCCTCGTTATCAATGCTCTCTACTCCAGGCCAAATTGCGTGTTTGGTTTCTCTCTCTTCCTTACTCGAATAATTTAAGGTGCTGTTTCTTATGTCACCGAAAGACGACAAAATTAGAAATTACAATATATTTTGTCGCCTCTTCTTAAAAAATTGCATACTTAACGTAGAGCGTATGCGTGTTGTTGTTATATCTCAAGGGTTTTCTAAGTTTTATTTACATTTTACAATCGCGTATACAATTAAATCCTCGGAATTCAAATAAGCCGTGTTGCAGCACCACAGCAATGCAGCGGCGTGGAGTGCTTTTCGATAAATCGATTGATCTGCCATTTAAACCGATGGAAAAAGATCGATAAACAGGGTGCTCGCAGCAAACACCTTAATAATCGATTCTTTACAATAGCTTTAAATGGGGAACTATCGAAAGTCGATCATCCACGCCACTACAGCAGGGTTGTCAAGTGGTGCAAATTTCTCACCAAAAACATTTCCACGACGGCATCGCGGATTTCAGTCCCACAAATCATTATCGATAACATGTCCGCAATTTGCACCATTTTGCAACGCTGCCATGGTGCTGCACGACTCGCCTGAAATTCGAGCATTTCATGGTAAACACGACTGTAAATGCAACGTAGAAAACCCATGAGAACTAACAACCGCAGCCATACATTCGTAGGGAAGCCTATCGCCTACAACCAGAGCGCCTTCAATTTTATGAACGCAACACGGACATCCAAGAACACGAATAGTTGCATCCAGACCTTATCATTGAAAACGACGGAGCGCCTTCACTTTATTCCGCTTGCGATGACAAAATATGTCACTCATTGCATCGATGCGTCGTCATTGCACAAAGAGAAGGCCGTCTGAACATTTAAACAAACTTTTTTAGATGTGAAAATTCCCTGCCTTTTTAGATGTTTTGGACATAAGAATTTCCACCTACTCCCTGGCTTTTCTGCGTTTTTATGGCGTAGTTCCTGGTAAAACTTCTGATCACGAACGATTCTGAGCGCGAATTATCTTGAAAGTGCAAAAATGCAATGTTTTGGCTGAAGGAAAACATTTCCGCAGCAAAATTGTTCCCTAACTTTGTCCAACTTCTCAGGGTTGGGCAAAAAGCTTCGTAAACAAAACCTCGAGTGAATGACCAACTCCACCCCTCACCAACCACTTTTCGTCGTGCGGGCAACAGTATCATGGTCTATCTCATGTTTCCACTGATCAGATTATAAAATTAAAGTTTCCAAAATACTTGTTGTAGTCTTTGATAACAAATTATACTCAACATTAACGTTATGCAGATCTCTTTTTATCTCCAATAAAAATGCGATCACGTCTAAAAGATGTTTACAGGTTGGTTGCTGAATTTCGCACTCCAAGCTTACAAGTTGGAGTCTCCCTCGATGAGCGTTGAAGAACCTATCGGGTTTTTGAATTTGAATTTCCTAAAAATTTTGCAGTAAAATCGCTCAATGAATGGTTTCTAAAGCACTGCAATGTAGTGATTTTTTGGAAAAAGA